AGAAGCCTCTGCTCCAAAAGAAAAAAAAATCAAGAGAGGGAACAAACCAAGAGACAGAGCAGAGAGAATGAAGGAAGGAAGGGATGGAGAAAGGGGGAGAGAAAGAGGTGGAAGAAAGGAAGGGAGAGAGACAAACTTAGACAAATGATTACAGATATGAGTGCCAGGGTTAGGAAGATTATTCTCAGTGCTGCTAAGTGGTAGACCTTAACTGAACAGGCCACAGGTGGGGTAACCTCTATTACAATACAGCTGTTCCGGTTCTAGGTACAATGTCGCTTGTTTTCTAGTATCTTACTTTCTTTTCAAAAACTAAGGGTGACTGCTCAGCCTGGTAAACCAATTCTTCTGTCTGTAAGGACACCCCTGTACATCCTAGCTGATACTATGATTCTTAAATTTTATACATGTGACCAGTACCCTTAAACTTTTGTCACAGTCATTTCTCCTTTTGTTGACTGCTCAGCTGCCACAGACTCCTGAGACCCAGGCTCGCAGGTGTGAGCTCTCACATTGAGCCCTTTCATCACATTCTCATGCCTTCTGTATTATTTGTTTAATATTTAAAACCAGCTCTTAAATTGTTATATTTAAACAACATAACCTTTTTACATGCAGTGCTATCTCTAAAATCACAGAACTTAGTGGGATATTTGTTTCTTTGGAAAATAACTTAAAACCAATAGCCATTGAAAGACATGTTTTGTTATGAAAATCTTTACTACACATGCGTTTGGGGATGATAGTGTGGCTTGCAAATTTTTTGTCTGATTTTTTTTTTCTAGTGAATGTTGTGAACCCATGTTTTCCCCCCCCCATCAGAGTCACTCCCTTTAGTTGATAGGAAAACCTGTTCCCAAGTACAAACTCATATTGTTGGTAGAGTCCAAGAAAAACTGTACAGTATTAAAAATAGTATTTTTAAAACTTACCTTCTGAGCAATCAGAATACTCATTCTCAGGTCCTTCTGTAAATTCCTTTCTTTTTTTGGCTGTAGGAGGGCCCAAGATATTGCAAATGTCTCCATAAACTGTGGTACATTGTTCTGTGTCAGACTCATAATTATTATTGTTCTGTACATTAATTAAGATGGTTTAATGAGCTAACTCTCAGGACTATGATTAATGCAGACATATCTGTCAGTCTTGATTAAGTTATTAAAAAAAATAATAGCAGCTGTCCATGAGTGACTCTTACTGGGGTTAGGGGAAGGCCCTAACAAGATTTTTCTCTATTTTTGTAAGGACCTTTAAAGGATCATGGGTTGTGAGGGCAAATGTGACTTCCATAGCTTCTCAGTGATGCTGAAAGCAGGCAAAAGAATCATCCTGTGACTCAAGCCACCTTGGTATATCCATTGGCAAGCAAGCCTTTTCTGCAGCTAAGTCAGGGAAATCAACTTCTGGGGCGGGCATGAGGTCAAGTTCAATGCTCAGGGAAGGAATGTGAAGCAGACCCTAAGGGAAGAGATAGATATGGCAGTCATGGCAGCCAAAACGGGAACATGGAGAGAGAGAACCAAATACATCTGTCTTAGGAAGCCGGTTCTAAAGGGCACTGCCAAACTTTCCTTTTTAGAATAGATAGGTGCTTCCCTTCCCTTCCAAAATATCAAAAGTACCTTAAGCTTGCTTAAGAGCAGAGTGGGAAGTATTTATTTGTTTTTCCTCTTATTTTGGGGACTCTAGACAGGACAACATTCACCAGGCACAGCATTTTAACTTGTGGGTTCTCACCACCTGGTTAGTTGTATAATTGTATTCTTTTTCTCTTCCCAGGAGCCATTTTCTTAAGAAAAAAAAATGCCCTTCTTTTTCTTAGATGTCTCTGTTTATAGCAGGCTTACATCATACAGCACTTACCAGAATAACTTGACAACCAATGATCCTAAGACTGTTTTTGAGGACCAGCTCCTATAATCTGGGAAGGATCAACAATGGGGCTTCTCTTATAAACAAAGATGATTAGCCAACCGCATATTACAAATACAAATTGAAAATCACAAGCATGAAGAAGACATGTGCACAATATCACAGCTTGGATAAAGCCTTTAAACTCTTCCCAAGTCAATACCTTTACTATTTAATGATTTTCATCCTTCCTCCTCTTTATTCACATTGGAAGTGACATTTCATATTCACAGTCTTTCCGGGTTAAGACACTTAGTGAACTCAAGCAGATCTCCTTAAATTGTGTAATACTATTACCCCTCTTGATGAGATGCAGGTGCGGAAGAAGCATCATGCCTGAACACAATTTCTGGAGCCTCTTAAACTGGGGCCAAGAATGAAGAGAATGTCATGATGGCGGTCCAACAGCAGCTACTATTTGCTTCCTGTGTGCCCTGTTGGCTCACATTGCTTCACCAAATGACCCTATAAAACAGATAAGTTTCTTCCCTCCCACCTTTCATATTCTGAGGTTGTGAATGAGAGTCAGAAATGTCGACTAACTTGTAAGTTCCTATGTAGGAATGGGAAGAACCAGGATTCATATCTCTGCATTTCCTACCCTCCTGTGTTGCCTCTTCTGCCTTTGCAATTTCTGAGACTGTTTTGTCATCTGACCCATGTGTACACACTCTGAGGCAGCTCCAGACGGTCATTTACCACAGAACTTTGGGAAACCAGAGTCTTGTGATTCCCCCTCCCTCCCCCCAGCTGCTTAACACTTTTCTTTGTCTTCTCTGATCCTTTCAATCTTGTCCTCCTATCTGAGGGACATTCTCACACTTAATAAAGCAGGCAAGAGGCTTTCAGTATGCTTTCACATTTGCAGTGTCTGGGTATGGAATTACGCTGGAGGGGTGTGTGTAGAGGGGTTCATATGGTGGGTGGGTGTGTAGAGGGGTTCATATGGCAGGTGGGTTTGTAGAGGGGTCATAATGGAGGCGGGTGTCGTAGGGTAGCATCAGCTGGTGCCCGGTCCAGGCGTCATCCCTTACTGCAGTGGGATGAGCTACTGGCAGGATAGAATACAAGAGCAAAAAGCCTTGGTCTGCTAAGAATGGTTCCCAGATGGGAAAGGAAGGAAAAGAAGGGACAAAGTGAATGCTTGGGAGTTGGTGTGTTAAGGGTCCATCCTTCAGCTTTGGGCCTAATCCCATGGTAACCACAGTGAACAGATATGGGTGGTGACATTTTCCATTCAAGGCCTTTGGGATGCATGAATGGCTTTTCCTCTATAATTTTTTTGATCTATATAATAGGGAGAATAATTACTATTTTATTCCTCAACCTATTTCTCTTATGCATTTTTTAAGGGGTTGATATTTTAAAGTATCTGAAAAGCTTAGTAAATATCTTCTGATATGCACCTACTACTTCCTACTACTTCTTTCCTTACCTCAGGCTCTGTCATAGGAAACAGACCTTGTGTGCACTGAACACACATGTCCAAGTGTCATGAAGTCTATGCTATTTGGAAATCATGAAATAAGAATGACTTTCATAACACCTTTAAATGATCTTCATTTCTCTTGTCAGAATTTCCTGGTTTTTTTCTTTCTGGTTTGTCTTTCTTAGCGATTGATTGGGTGATGTCATTTAATGCCGAGTTCTTACAAAAAGGTGTTATATCTTTGCCATTTTTCCATGTTTCCTAATGATATTTTGTCCATATTGTCTTTTAAAAGCCAGACTCACAGCACATGTGTGTGTAATCCTACTCAGGGTTTCTATGGTAAGATGGAAGGCAGGGACAGAATTCTCCAAAAGCTTGTGGGTTAGTTAGTATGGCATGTACAACAGAAAAACTAAGAGTCCTTGCTTGTATCAAGCAAAGTACAAAGTGAGAACCAATACATGAGGTTATTGGCCATCTTCCACACGTGTCCTATGGCACACTCATAAATGCACTGTCCCCCTCATATACATACATACACGTACATATGAACACATACACAAAAGGAACATTTCAATGTCATGTTGCCAATGTGTCTGGTTTCAGATGGGATGCTATAAAGGGAAAGCCAAGCCTCGTGTATTTTATAATTGAAAAACATGAGAAAGTGATCAAAATAGGAGTAGAAGAATTGGTGAAACCTCATCTTAGATCTCTTTGGTGATTATTTTCTTTCTAATGTTCTGAAGCGTATGCTTTGTAATTAAAAAGAATGACATTTGTTCTGTCCCATCTGTGATGGAAGAAAGAATTTAGGGTCCTAGGGAAACAAAAATGAAGAGCGTGACCAAGACCCTGAGGCTGCAGCCTGCAGCTGCATTAGGTCTTCCGGTGATGGGAAGGTTCACATGACATCGTATAAGGCAGAATGGTAATTAACCAATAAGAGACAAGGTGTTACCAGAAAGATAGAGTTCGTGCACCTGATTACTAATTAATCAGGCATGAGAGCACCTTGTAGATGCATTCACTATTTAATTATAGCAACCTCTCTTGGCAAAGGAGCATATGTTCCCAGCTTAATCTACTGGTTTATACTGACATCAAATTGTCATTATCAGAAAGAATCAGGCCTTTTGATTATTTCCACTAATTTATTGAACACTTAAAATTAATGAACCCCAGGCCTTTTAAATGTGCTTAGTTGGTTTAGAATAAGGGAGGAGAAAGGGGGAGTAGGGTAGGGAAGAACCTTCATTAAAAGGACAATTTGTTTGGAAAAAGGTAAAGCAAATAGATTTCATGGATGATCTAAACTCTGCTGGTGAGAAAGGCATGCGTTCTACAACTGAGCCCACGAAACTGTGGACACAGGCAATAAGGTACACCTGCAGGACACCAGTGCCCTCCACAGAGCACATGGCCCGCATGCCTCACCCACTGCTTACGTTCAGGTTCTGAGAAGCACTTCTGCAATTATGCTTAATCAAATCAGAGCAAACTAAATAAAATGGTAGACATCAAGTGATAGATTAATTAGCAAGGTCTCCTTTTTTCTTTCATTTTTTTAGGGGTGTGTGTGAAGAATAAAATGCAATGTCATCATTCCCCTCTATGCGTGGTGTCTTTGAATCATACTTTTTTTTTAAATGTTAAGTTTCAGGTGAAGATCAAGTTCAGGTATTTCTCCAAGTGAACGAAGGTGTGCCTCCCACTGTTTCAGGTGAGTACTGACCTCTAGATAGAAGGTCCAGTAGAGCAGAGCCCAGTAGAGCAGAATGTTCTCCGATGGTTCTATGTGTACATACCACTTTTCTTTTTTGTTTATAAACAGGCAAGCATCAGCTCTTCTGCTTTTCCACCTGACAGCTCTTAGCTGCGTTTTCCTCTAATTAAATATATGTCTGCATGTCAAGGAAAGATAGAAGGATGTATTTGTTTTTCAAAAACAATAGAAAGTCAGAATTGTAACATGTAAACAAGCACGTTTCATAAATCATGAGCCATATGTGCACACAGGATTCCAGATCTGCAGATGGGCCATTAGGCCCCCTCCAAATGGAGAGGAAAATCCAGGGTATCTCTAAACTTTAATTGTTCCTGGTAATTTCAGGAAATCAGGATAAACAAACCCTACCCAAAAGTCAGATGGTTCTGTGAGATCTGGCTAACTCAAAAGCGCCGAATTCTCAAAGACTAAACATCTCATAACCACCTTTTAATGTATGTCTTCGTTTGTTTTTGTTTATTGTGAGTCAGTTTAACTGTACATTTGCAGGAGGGATAAAGCCTTTCAAAGGCAGGGTTTTCCTTTGATTTTCAGGGAATATTTGTGTTATGTCAGAGAAGAGTCATACTAATCAAAAACGTTCAAATTTTCCCATCTCAATTAAAAAAGCAAATGAGGTAAATTTACTGCTCTGAACTAAGAGAAGGACTTTCAGCGACCACTCTATGCTTTTTGTACTGGGATGAGTGTTGTGAGGACTGGTTTCACAGCAGGTCGCATGCTTTTACTGCATTTCTTTTATTAGCCTTTATTCTGTCTTTTCCTTTAGATGCCTCAACATTTCTGGTTTATTGATTGTTTCTTTAAGGTGTGTGTGTGTGTGTGTGTGTGTGTACGTGCGCACATGTGTTTGTAATGACAGTGAACAAGAAAGAATGGTTCTTACCTTTATGGTGGCTTATTGCCTCTGGAGTATGTCAAAGAATTGACATACTTTTAAATAACAACTACCAAAATTAAAAAATGTCACCAAATTCTTTTCTCTCTAAAAATCTTGTCTCTAATTCCATGGGTGACTGCTTATTTCACAGGTTCATACCAGTAGGGAAGGCTGTCTTGTGCAGGGTCTCCTAGGGTATATGGGTCTATTGTGATGCCTAGGTGGCTGGTTTACATAGCCATCTCATCAGTCAGTGGCTGAGCCTCGGTAAGATCTCATGGATCTCTGCTCAGGTTGCCTTTTTTTTTGCTATGCCATGTTGCTCCCAATATGGTTAGATTATTTGGGGGGTATATATTAATTCATACATGAAATCACACTCTATAGCCAATTTTCCTCTCTTACATAATTTAGGACAGAAAAGCATTACAAAGCATAAGAAAGTGCAGAATCGGTGCATCAGTAAAATATCTCAGATTCCAGGGAGCTCCTTGACTTCCATAATACCAAATATAAAATCTAATAAAAAAACACGACAGCATACTTTATTTGTTATATCATTCTATGGAAAACAACACAGTTACTGCACTTATCAACATTAGTCTTCCATAAACAAATGTAGATGATTGATGAAGGTCTATCATTGTGTTAACCCATTCCAAGCTTCAATATAAGTATAGAATGCAATTGAAACTTTTGATAATATGCTGTAAAGACTCTCTTCATTTATCCATTAATAGAGAGCCTGTTGAATGTACAAAATTTTGGTGGTTATTATGAGAATATTTTGGACAGGAAAATTCTAGGGTGTGCCAAGAAACCAATTTAAATCAACCAACCTTCCCCCAATAACCATGTATGATGAATCTCCTTTTAGCTTTTATCTGTCACAGAAGCTCTTCAGAGGACTAACTCTCTTGATATAGAGCTACAGAAATTGGGAGGAGGTGAATGAAGAGTGAAAGAGTAGGTGTCAATATTTACCTGATATATTCCATGTGAGACTACTTCAAATTTGAGCTGCTGGTGATTCATAGATTTTTACAGAGAAGTAGGATGAGGGCTTGTCGCAAATGTTGGTCCTCAACAAAAGCGATCTAAAGGTTTGGGAGAACACCTAAGGCTCACAGCCTCCAGTGAGAAATGCAATGAGCTTTAGGATGCTCCAACCTGAACTCTTCTCTTTCTTACCTCTAGTGTATCCGTTAGTCCTTAGTAATATGATTTTTACTCTAACCACCACACTTGGACAATTCTCTTTTTTATTTAAAATTTTTAATACAATATATTTTGATCATCTTCTTTCCCCTCCTCAATTCTTCCTAGATCCTCTCCACCCATCCAACTTTATTTCACCTCCCTACCCTCTCTTTCTCCCTTTCAAAAATATCCCAAAATAAAACCAACCAAAAAGTGTAAAGAAGAGAAGGAGGGAGGGAGGGAAGAAAGAAGGAAGGGAAGAAGGTAGAGAGGGAAGGAAGAGGAAAGGGGAAAGATGAAGGACAGAAAGAGAGGGAGAGAAGAGGGAAAGATAGAGTTTGTTTTGTGTCTACTAACTACTTCTGGTCATGGGACCCATATTAGTGAGTGCTTAATAGACCCAGTGACACTCTAATGGAGTAACAGATTTCCTTTTTTCAGCAGGTGTCAATCACAACTAGCTTCTTGGTTAGAGGTGGGATTTTGTGTCCACTTCCTTTTTTTTCACTGCTGAGATTTTATTTTCTTTGAACTTGTATAGGTTTTGTGCACACTGTCACAGTCTCTGTGGGTTCATATGTATGTCAGTCTTATTGTGCCGGGAAGATGGGAAGATGCTGTTTTCTTAGAGTCACATCTGGCTCTTACAGTCTTTCTGCCTCCTCTTTCACATAGATCCCTGAGCCTTGAGGGAAGGGATTTGATAAAGACATTTCACTTAGTATGAGTGATTCAGTCTCTTGCCCTCTGCACATTGTGAACTTGTGAGTTTCTGTGTCTACTGTCTACCACAAGAAAAAGCTTCTCTGATGATGGTCTCTTCTTGATCCCTTATCCCTGATTGCCAAACTCAATAGCTGGCTTCTCATACTATCTCTTACAAAATTTTTCTGCTAACAAGATCTCATCTTGAACTTGTTCTATTTCATATGATTTTAAGAAAAGATAAGCAGGTGTGTTGCTGACTTTTTTTTCCCTGCAGAGTTCATTTTCTCTCCCCAACTTTTGGTGCAGTATTAATCACATAGAAATCTAGTAACGAACAAGAAACTAAAACATGTTCTTAAGGCAGAATGGAATAGGATGATGGAACTTGTATATAACATTCTTTATAAAGTAGTCATTGAAAGGGCTGGGTTGTTAGATTTGTAATAATTCCAGCCCTTCTATGAACTAGAGTGATGATGGCAGCAGTGAAGGGTGTTTATTTCCACCATCTGTAATAAATTTGAAGCAAGTGGTTTTTTGTTTTTCTTTTGTCTTGAGACTTGGTGAAGTTTTAAAGAACCTAGTAATTGTCCATTGGATATATTACTGTTCATAGAACATCAAAAATCATGCCGGAACTCTGTGGTACTAGTTAGTGGTCATACCAACAAATGCCCTTAATCCTTTGACATGTTTCCTTGGATTATATAGACCATAATGAGAAGGAGACAAAACAATGAGAAGGGAGAAAACACAGGAAGGCATCACAATGTTAGCATTTATAAAGTATTTATAAAGCCTCTATCTGAGATAGGCCTGTTCTAAGATGTGCCTTATTTCCATGCTGTGTGTTGTATTTCTGTGCCTATGTATTTATGTATCTATAAATTCTTTTTTATAATTTTCTTTTTATTTAAATTTATTTATTTTTCACCAGTGTCTATGATTTCTGTATGTTTTTGAGTTATTCTGGAGCTCAGATTAGACCATAACTGCTATAAACTTGGGCACTGATAGAAAATCCAGCAGGTTATTGCCATGCTTGTGAAATCAAGCGTTTTGTATATTCTTGGTGACATCTTAGGTTTATATCATATTCATCTTCAAAGACAAAAATATGACCTTATGTCAAGAGAACCAAATCCATCTTTCTTGCTCAGTGTTCTCCTTTACCTTTCAGAATCAAGTTCATCCACTGCTTGGTGTGGATCTCCATTGGGGTATCTTAAGTTTATTCCAAATACCATGTTTTTAATTTATCAGAAGTTGATAACAAAGTGAATAAACTGTAATTAATAAAAATAAAAAATGAAAAAAGAAGTTGATAGAACTCATTGGCTTCTATCTTAATGGTCTTGAAATCTTTGGCCTCTGACTACTTGTTATTTTTCTTTACTTATCATTTGCCTCCTTCTAGTTCTGTTTCATCAAATTTCTTTTGACTTCTCTACTCAACATTTTATTTCTCAACTTTATATATATTCATGCATATTTTGAATTCGGAGCAATGGCCTTTGCTTTTCCCTCTTTTTACCTGCAGAACCTTTAAGCCTTTAAAATGCTGGTCAGTTACCCCTTCTTTCAGAGAGCCTCTCCTGGCCAAACTTTGCTTCCTTCCTTGGAAGAGAATTTTTTAAGACATTTGTTATCAATCTGGATGCACATTTTTATCTCCCTAGTATTACTGACATTGCATCTTAGCTGCCTGGAAATGATAATATATTACATGCATGTAATATATACATACATATATAATATATACATATATTACATGCATGTACATGTAATATATGTATATATATTTCATTTGGGACTCCTGCTATCACAAACTTCTTTAAAAAAAAACATGATCATGATCATTATTTATGCTTGTGACACTAACCACTAATGGAAGAGATTCTCTTCACCCTGTCAAGAGGTGATCTTCTATCTTTCATTTCTGAAATTTTCTTCTAGATTTATTAGTCATATCATGGGGGAAAACAATAATACCAATAAAAACATAACATAAAAAGACAAATGGATACATCTCATTATTACAAAAACCCGCAGTATGGTTCCAGAAGTTGCTTTAGAAAGTGGTTGATTAGTGGTTATTAGTCCCATGATAGTGGTACCAATACAATATTATTGGTCAGGAACAGAATTAATTAGGACACATGATATGTACATAAATCACTATCACAAGAAGTATCGAGGTCATAATCCGCCCATTCACGAACATTAGAAGCTGTGAGAATGACATACTTTGACTAGACTCTTTCTAAGAAAGAGTCCATTTTAAGAATATAATTAGAATTATTATCAGATTTGCACAGAAGTTGCTCAAATCATATTGTTTATTATTAGAAAGACTCTACATGTTAGATGTTACAGAGTAAAAGAATGAATTTCTAGTATGATAGAATATTATGTAATCACTAAAATTGTGCTTATAAAAGAGTTTTAATGTCATTAGAAAATACATAATAAAAATAACTAAGCTAACAAAACAGAACTGAGTCTAATATAATTTCAATTATATAATAACACTGAGGTATTATAGGAGGAAACACAAATAAAAGGTGATTGTGGTAATTATTATGTGGTGAGGTTCTGGGCAATTATTATCTTTTCTTTATTAGCATTTTCAAAATAATCCATAATAAACATATATAATATTTATATAGAAGCAGAATGCAAATGCTTAATACTCTTGGAATATATTTGCTCAGAAGAGTAGGAAATGGGTAATAGCCTGCTTTCCTGCTATGAAATGTTTTATAGAAACATTTCTTCTAATATTCAAACCAGCTAGTTTGAGAGGGGAAAAAATACCACACCCTTAAAATAACAACAGAATCCTGAGCTTGTCACACTATCTTGGGTGTTCAGAGTTAACTTTGTGCCTCTCTGATGTGTTTCAGCTTCTACACCTGTACTTGAATCAGCATTAAAATGGTCGCTTCCTGCAACCTGGAAAGATGTTGACAAAGGCTGGGGGGGACACAACCAGACCATCCCAGGACCCGGTGATGACGTCGTGATTTTACCCAGTGAGTGAAACCAGCTGTGGTAGGAAACAGATGAACTGAACTGACCCAAGTCTGACTGGGGATAAGATTGCGTGATGTAATACAAGACAGGAAAGACAATAGACATAAGTAGCTACTTATTTTTATATACCTTTGGGGGAGGTTAGCATGAGATAAGAGGTAATCTATGGTTTTGAAGAACCTTTGAATTGTTCTATATAGTGGCCGAATCTGTTTGCATTCCTAGTAGTGGTGAGTGTGTGTACTTTCCCGGTAACACGCTTGCCAGCATTTGTTGTCATTTGTTTTTTTACTGGTAGCCATTCTGCTGGTTTAAGATGGAATCTTCAGTGTACTTGTAATTTGTATTTTCTGTATGGTGAAGAATATCGAATACTTTTCATGTATGTATTGAATTTGTGCTTTTTTTCTTTGAGAATAGTCAGTCAAAATAATCTATTTATTGATTAGATTATTTGCTTTTTTTGGTGTGGATTAAATTGTTTGTTTTAGTCTTAGGGATTGAACTGAGGATTTTCCATATGCTAGGCAAGCATTCAACCACTAAGCTACGTTTCTAAGCTGTGAACTCCTTGTATATTCTAGATATTAATCCCTTGTCATATGCGTAGCTGGCACAGATTTTCTTCTGTTCTGTTTATTGTTTTTACTTTTGAAATAATTTCCTTTGTATACCACCTACTATAATTACTTTTAAAAGATTTAAGTCAATGGAAGAAAACAGATGCAGAAAAAAAGATAATTCCAGAAATACACCAAAGCACAACTGTATTTAAAACATTCATTTTCCTCAAAGGAGAGCGCATTGAAGTCCCAGTAATCTCCTTAGACTCAGATGAAAATGTTTTTCAGAAAGCAATTTTATTGAGCAGCACAGAACCAAATTCTATTTATGTTCAATATGACTATTTCAAGGTTACATTAAACAAAAGATCTGCAACCGGGAAAGGACATTTGTCTCTATGTGAATTAGTAGTAATGTCAGGCGTTTACCAAGGACTAAAAACCTACCAGGAGCTGTTTTATGTATGTGCTTTGTTAACCCTCACAACGATCTTGTAAATAGACTAATGCTATTGTCTGCATTTTCATAGACAGAGAAACGGAGGTTTGTGGTAGCTGAGCAATATGGTCAGAATCGAACAACTTGCGATTCAAACGAGGAGGAATTTGAACCCAAGCAATTTAATTTCAAGTCCTTACTTGTAAGCAGTAGAGTACATTTTCTTTCCAAAAGGACTAGGGGTAAAATAGAGTGGACATGTTGCTCACTCTATTTTTGACAGCAGATGCAAAAAAATAAAAGTAGAAATAATAATAATAAAAAAAAAACCCACACAGGTCACATTGCAGCCTTTGACATCGCCTATTTAGCTGCCTATAAAGATGAAGAATTCAGCATATGAGTCGTCTGAGGCAAACTTGAAATATTTTCAGCCTGTTTCCCCATTAACCACCTCTCTTTTCAATGGAGGTTCTAACTTTTTGACTAAATGAGCTAATGAGTCATTCTTATACTGCAAAGAAGAATCTGTTATCCCTAGGTCATGTCTTTGATGAATCCAGCCAACTGATTTGCCCCGGGCTCTGGTTTTTCCCCATGAAGCTGGATTTCCCGGGTTCCATGCAGGAAGCTGGGAAGCTTTTCAAAGTCGCCAAGCTTTTAGTATTGGGGCTTTGATGCTGAACAAGCTGCAGAGTCTCAACCATCTTGCTTGGCATTGCAAGCTGCGTCCTCCATGTGCTCTGGTGCCTGGGAATCCTTAGTGTTCTTTCTCGCTTTCTCTTCATCCCTGCGATCACGTTAGCTCATGATGGTGGTCCTGGCTTCTCTGTGAAGCCTCTCTGAAATGTACGAATCTATGCTGTGAGGAAAGGAGGGATGGCAGTACAGCTGTCGGTATAGGATCCCTGTAAGGTGTCTTTTAATCCACCCAGTGTTGAGTATTCACTCTCTGTGGCTTCCTCACCCACATATGTGCACGTGCACACGCACAATTATACATATGAACATATATACACCACAAACACATCAAATCACCCACTAGGAATCAAACCCAGAGCCTTGGATATTCTAAGCACTATTTTACCATTGAGACTCATACCTACCTTTCTTTCCTGTATCTCCTTCTCTTTTAAAGGTACCCTAACTCTTTGCTTTCATTCATGAACATCAGCCTATTCATCACCAAAAATATATTTCAGTGTTTACTATTTACATTGTTCCTTTAACTAGAAATAAAAAGTACAAAACAGTTTGATGCTTTGCTTTTAACCTTATGACATATTTATTCTTAGAAAAAAACAGAGAAACTGCCTAGATAGGAACCTAACACAATAAAACATTGGCAAAATCATTTGCCTTGTGTGTGTGTGTGGTTATGAATCATGTATTTAGTACCTAGGCACCAAAAGTAAGTTGTGCTCATGCTTTCAGACTTCCAGTGATTTAGCTGTGTTAATAAAACATATAATGAATAATGACAATCCCAAACTACAGCAAACACGGTATGCTTAGAAGCAAACTATCTTCAGTGAACAGCGGAGAAACGGATCTTGGAGGAGAAGATATGTGAAATGGACTGTGAAACACGAAGTATGAATTCAAAATGTGATTATGAGACAGTAGGAATACTGTCAGGGGAGTATCTTAGTGGAGAGGGCAAAGCTGGTTCACTATCAAATAGGACAAACCGGGGTTCGCTGTTAGATTCCTGACATTCGCCAACTGTGTAAATGATCACCATCTATACAATATGAGGAGTAAGATTAATATATCATAACATTAAGAAATGAGATGGCATCAGTCCACATGAACGCTGCTTCGAGTGTTTGTAGTAATGGAATTGGAGCTGAAGGCTGTGATTTGTTGTATATTAGGGGTCTTCTCTCCTTTTCTTTTTGCCATCTGGTTGCCCCTCTTGGCCTCTGATATTAGCGACACTTTGTATTTGCTTTCCAATGGCTTATTATTTAATTTTCACAACATCCTTGGGAGCTAAATAGGTAATAACTATTATTACAGTAAAAACCCATTTTTACATAATACGATTTTAATGGAACTGCTGATTTTACAAAATGAAAGTGACTGGTAAAGAAGATTTAAGTGATACTTTTGAACCTCTAATATAATTTTATGGTGTTTTGTGTATTTTAATTCATTAATAAAGGAAATGTGTAGAACATCCCCATCATTATTCAAATAGAATAGCATAATTTTTCAATAAAATTCTTAGAGTAAATTGCCTATTTCCATTTTCTGGGAAATCAATTTTACGGAATGACCTCAGACCCATCCTTTCCCATAAAAACAGGGCTTTACTACCCCAGTGCAAGGCATCACTAGCTAACAGTCTAAGGCATCACCATCTTCCAGTCTACGGCACGATGCCATTTATTTTCAAGGCCGTCTGTCATCAGACACTGAATTCTGAGAAAGCTGTAAACTTCTCCCTGTGGTGTTAAAAGTAGCAAGTGGAGAAAATTGTGAATAACTTGATCTTGTGGTTTAGTGTATGATAGTTTTGCTTTATGCAAGCAAACATTTCTGTGTTGCCTCATCAAAACTGGAAGAATCAGTTCTATGAATTCTATATTTCCTAAGAGAGAGCAATTTCTATATAACCTGAGATTCTAATCCAAAACATTCCTAAAGAATAGTTGATGACTTGGCAAAACGATCCATCTAACTTTTTCCTTCATGGTTTGGCCTGAACTTACCTGAGAGGATTTATAAAAGATGCTTCCAGAACTACTTCTAGAAGAGTGCTCAGTCTTGGTAAAGACACACACACACACAAACACACACACACAGAGCACAGTGAAGATGTAATGGGAGGAGAGTGTGCCATAATCACAAAAGACAGGATTCTTCTTTGAGTGACATGGATTTGGTGTTGTGTAGTCTCTGGAATCTTTCTTGGTGTGTATGGGATGATAGAATTCCCAGTTTCATTTCCTTTCTTGCTTTGAAATTTCAAATCTTATTTGAAGGCATGAATGGGAATACTGTTTTTTTTCCTTTATAATAGTTCTTTTGTTTGTTCCAATTTTCGATACTTGAGTACTTTGAATAGTAGAAAGCCTCATCAAAGCCATGTGATATTCAAATATGGCAGCATTTAAGGCATTTCCTGGTTAAACTGCAAAGCATTGTAAGATGTTGGTGACGTGAAGCAAGATGATCATCATTAGAAAGCAATTTCTGAAAGGAAATATTCCTATAAAATAATGGGACTGTAGAGTTGCCTTTATTTAGGGTGAGGAGATGGCTTAATGGTTAAAAGCAGGTACTCTGCTTACAGAGGAAACCTCAGTTTTGGTTTTCAGCATGCTGCTGTTCCAGGTTCAGGGATATCCAATGCCTCTGGCACCCATAGGCACCTATGATCACATGCGGATACCCATCCCACACACAGACACACAAAGAAAACAACAAAGAAAGAAAGACAGAAATAAAGAAACAAACAAAGAATGAATGATTATAAGTAATTGGCTTGATTTATGTTTTTATAGGCTAAGACTATATCCAATTTAGGATGATATATATATATATATATATATATATATATATATATATATATATTTAGGTCTGTGACGCTGGTTACAAACCAAATATTATATACATTTATAGTGGTTCTGTAGCTGGAATAGTACTTACCATTTGGTCTTGTAATGCTTAGGAGGTACAAAATGGTCATTGAGACCACCACTCACTTATTCCACGTTACTTGGAAATGGGAGACAAAGACATTTATGCTTGAGTTGTTAGGGTCCTTAGTATGGTGTATAGCACCAGAATTTTTTTTTTTTTTTTTAGTTATGGATATTCCATAATTCCATCCTTATCTTCTAAGCTCTCCAGAGATCTAATAGTTTAAGATTCATGTTTTATCACCTGGCTAAACCAGTTCCACATAGGTCCTTCTATGTATCATTGACTATCATCAGATGCTGTCTGGGTTGGTTATCTAAAATATCAACTTGAATTAATACTCATG